AGAATCTCACTCAGTCACTGCAGAAGCAGCTGGCGTCTTGGTCCCAATGCTGCTGTTTTGTGCTGTGGACGTGTGCCAGGTGCAGGGTGACGTGTGCCAGGTGCCGGGTGACGTGTGAGGTGCCGGGTGACGTGTGCCAGGTGCCGGGTGACGTGTGCCAGGTGCTGGGTGGCGCCGAGGGCGTGCGGGCTTGTCCCGCAGTGAAGGTGGCGGACGGGCAGTCCTGTTGCTGAAGCTCACGTCCGCTTCCCCGTGGGCTCGGGAATGCCTGTTCCCGGCGTGCAGGCCCCCGAGTGTGCGTGGGGAGTGGCTGGGCAGCCCTGATTCTCTCTCCCAGGTGTCGGCGGTGCTGTGTGACGACGAGATCATGCTGACCATCAAACCCGGGGAGCACGGCTCCACGTACGGAGGCAACCCCCTGGGCAGCCGCGTGGCCATCGCCGCCCTCGAGGTAAAGCCGGACGCAGTGCACGCCCAGCCCTTGGGTCGGGTCACGGTGACGGACTGTGAACCGTGGTGTCACAGCCCGGGAGCAGGGAGCTTTCGGGGCCAGGCTCAGAGACAGGCCTCCCGCGGGCATCGCCACCCATATTGCCCAGGCGATGTCCTGTGGGCACTGGAGGGCCCTCCCAGAGCCCATCAGGCCTCTGGCTTCATGCGCCTCGCGCTTTTAAGTGTGTATTTGAACACTCAGATTTATTACATAAAATTATATAATCCCTAAGGTGGACTTTTTAGAGAAAAAAAGAATGAAACTCTATTGCAGTTAAAAAACTAAACTATGTTTAGTCCATTGGTTTATTCAACGAATAAGAAACTCCATTAGTTGTATTCAACACATTTTACCCCGTGTTTTGCCATAATATCAGGTTGGTGGTGGAAGTGTGACGAAGGCCGGTTCTGTCTGCCGCATGTGTTCAGTTAGGAGGCAGCTGGGCGGGGCTGGGGAATGTCAGCCTTACCGCCTCCTGCGTGTGCCCACATGCCCTCCGCGGAGCGGCTGACGCCACGGGCGGATTTCCCCGCAGGTCCTGGAAGAAGAGAACCTCGCGGAGAATGCGGACCGCATGGGCGCCCTCCTGCGGAACGAACTCATGAAGCTGCCCTCGGACATCGTGACCGCTGTGCGCGGGAAGGGGCTGCTCAACGCCATCGTCATCCGGGAAACCAAAGGTGGGCGTGCAGGGCGACACTGGCTCGGGTGGGCACTCTTCCCTTTTAGTTTTCATGAATCCTCACCCGAAGGTATTAGAGTGGGAGGGAGGTGGGAGGAGACGGAAAAGCGGGGGAGAGACATCTGTGAGAGACGTCTCCTGGCTGCAACCCAGTACGTGCCCTTGACCTTCGGTGCGAGGGCCGATGCTCTAGCTGCTGAGCACGCGGCCGGGCGGAAGGCACTGTCTTCGCAGGAAGAGCCAACACAGCATTTTATCTGGCGTCTGGGTTCCTCTGAGATGGCTGCCTGGCCGCTTGGTGCCCGGCTCTTTTAGGCTGAGGGTCACCTGATTCATGTAACGTCGTAGAAACACAGGTCTTTCCCGCGCGAAGGCACATTGACGTCACCCGACCTGCTTTTGTGCTTGAAGACGCTGGTTATTCTGCCCACGGCTAGTGGGGCGGTGCTGGGAGATTGGCTCTCTTTTTGTTAGGTCTTCGTAGCGCACTTTGCCTGAGTTGCCTCTTGCTGCCCGTTTCTGTCCGCTGTGACCTCCCCGCAGAGGCTGCAGGGACGGCGGTGACATGAGCGACCAGGAGGACGAAGCAGCCGGCTGCCCCGACTGCTGTTTGTCTGATGAAGCCTGTGGCCCCGTAGCTCCTGGCTGGGCTTCCTGGTGATCACGCTTTAGGTGCTGTCAGCCTTGCCCGCCTTTCAGAACCACCTGAGGCTTTATAGACGTCGGTCCGAGCCTCGCCCCGGCCCGCAGGCGGAGGGGATGGTCTGGGTCCCAGGCCTGAGCGAGGCGGGGCTGATACCAGGCTCTCAGATGATGAGCGCCTCGCCCACAAGCCTTTAGGGCGTGGTGGTCGCTGGGTTTGGGGCTTTGCTCACCCTGTGCCCGTTACAGTCGGTGCCTCACCTCGTTCTTTCTGTGCTGGTTCCTCGTGTAATTGGTACAGTTGTCCCGCACAGGATTGTTTTTCTTCTTTTTCTTTCTTCATGAAAAACTAACAAGAACCGTATGTCTGGTTCGGCCACTCAAGCCTGGTTCTGCGCTGGCCGACAGGTAGCTCTTTTAAGAGCAGGACCGGGTGTGCAGCCGCGCCGTCTTGCTGGAGGGGACAGGAGCCGTTTGCGGCCGCACTTGCCCAGGCACCTGCAGCGAGGGCTGAAGCCTTTCCCTCTGACCAGACGCTGTGGGCCTCTCTCCTTAGATTACGATGCTTGGAAGGTGTGCCTGCGCCTTCGAGATAATGGACTTCTGGCCAAGCCCACCCACGGCGACATCATCAGGTTCGCGCCTCCGCTGGTCATCAAGGAGGACGAGGTCCAGGAGGCCGTGGAGATCATCAATAAGACCATCCTGTCTTTCTGAGGGGCCTGCTGCCCTGGGGGCGGGGCCTGCTGCCCTGGGGGCGGAGCCAGCTGGGCTGGCAGCTTGGCCACATCCTCATAACAGCCTCTGCGTTGCTGCTCTCAGTGCGGGCACGTTCCACTCCTCTGTCTTCAAGGACCTTTTTAAATATGTTCTTTTCAGTTCATACGTGCTAGAGCGGCATTTATAATCACGCAGGTGGCTGTGTAAGAGAACGTGCGGGCGTCTGTTTGGTCACGTGTGTGTGCTGAGGTGAGATGCTCCCTCTGTATGTAGGCAGCCTTTTCAGCAAGTCCCGTGTGGTTTTTACAGGTTTTTATCATTTTCTCGCTGGTGTAAATGTATTATATTTCAAAAAGTTATATGAGGTTTTACATAGAAGACTGCTTTAACTTTGTAAAGTTGAATCATAATCACTGAATTTTAGGAAGGTTGAAATGGTTAAGCTTATATAAAGTACTAGGTTTAAATAAACTTTACATTAGCCAACACCAAGATGTGTCATTATTTTGAATTGAGAATTAATGTTCAACATTCCCAAATTATATTTTCAGTGTTGGTATAATTTGTAAAAAATACTCTTTCAGTTTTTCTTTAAATTTAAAATAAAGCTTATATTTAAAATGTCCGTTTTGTGGGCAGCATGCCGTTGGAAGCGTGCAGCGTGCTGACCACCTGTGCTCTGCTTGCTGTGACTTCCTGTCTCTAAGCAGCTCCGTTTCTGTGGTCTCTGCAAGAACAGACGCTGAAAAGCGTCTCTCGTGACCCCCGCCACTCGCGGCGTTCGCCTTCTCTGTGCAGACCTGCTGTGCCGGCTTCCTGTGGGTGCGCCCACGGGTGCTGTGACTGCGAATGGGGGCACATTGGGACCAGGCCCAGCTTTTCGCTCTTGAATAAAGCTGTGGCCGCTGTTCTTTGCGACTGAGCCGCGGTTGGGTGTTTCTGTGGACAGGGTCCTCGAGGTGGGCTGCTCTGTCGGGGACTTGCTCCCTGCCACCCTTGGGTCCTGAGTCACCTCGGCAGCACGGAGCTCCTGGCTAAATGTGTGAGCCGGTGGTGACAGGAGGGTCTGGGTGGGGGTTTCTGGTTGGATGTCTGTGGGGGCTAGACATTTTATAAGACACGTGACATGGAATGTCAGATACCACTTCACAGATGAGGAAACCGAGGCTCAGAGAGAAAGAAACTTGCCTTAGGTCATTGAAATGGTGAGTAGTGAGCCGGATTGGCATGGCTCAGTGATTGAGCATCGTCCCATGAACCAGGAGGTTAGGGTTTGATTCCCGGTCAGGGCACATGCCTGGATTGTGGGCTGGATCCCCAGTAAGAGGCGTGCAGGAGGCAGCCGATTGTTGAATTAGAAAGTGGTGGGGCCCTGGGCCCCAGTGGGCTGGACAAGGCCGGAGGCAGCCCAGGGGTGGTGCTGGGGGGCTGCTCCCTTGTCTTGAACTTGGCTGAGAAGCTCGGGTGTGTAAAGCTTTCCAGTTCGGCTCTAACTTGGGGCTGGATTCTTGACGACACCACCAGGAGCCGTTCACATGAAGGATGTGACACACGTAGGAGCCGCTTAGTCGGTTCAGGGGGACTTTACAATGTGTTTCAGAGCTTGGCCGTCCGCGGCAGGTGCACTGGCTCGGAGTTGCACTAGCTCCCAGCCTTCCTTTGATTAACTTGCAAATAGGATTCCTCCCCTGCAACCCCCTGTGCCCGGTCCAGTCCCTCAAATCGTTAACGAAACAGCTGGGCTTTATGATTTGCATCACGATGCTGGGGCGCAGGGCAGAGGGGGTGAGCAGGGCAGAGGGGGGGCAAGGCCGCCTGCTCGCTGGGACCCCAGCTCCGGCTCCCGCGTAAATGCAGTGGGGTCCCCGGTGGCGCCTGGTCTTGGTGGCGTTTCCCAAGGGGAGTGGGGAAGACCTTCCTCCCTGAGATGGAAAGGGAGTCCCCAATCTCTTCTACCGCCTTAAAAAATTATTTTAACCCCTTCCCCAACAATTTTTTTGTTAAAAACGTTTCTTTTTCAGACTAATTTTTTTATTTTGGTTCTATATAGTATTTTTGATGCTGGTTATGAAAACAGTTTGTAACTCGTCTTCCTATAAACCATATTTTTTTTTACCATATTTTCTTAGTATACTCGTCGACGACTGAAAAAGAACATTTTGTGAAAACGAGTATACACGTTTCTGCCGGGGAAGGGGTTAAAATACTGGAATTATTGATTCAATATTTAAATTATTGATTTCAGAGAGGAAGGGAGAGGGAGACAGAAACCTCAATGATGAGAGAGAATCACTGATCAGCTGCCTCCTGCACGCCCCCCTTCCTGCATGGAGCCCACAACCCGGGCCTGTGTCCTGACTGGGAATGGAACCCTGACCTCCTGGTTCACAGGTCGATGGTCAACCCCTGAGCCAGGAAGGCCACTGTCTCTTAAAGAGTGGCCCCCGTGGCTGATTTGGTCTCTGGAGGGGGAGGGGGGGTTTCTGTCTGACTCCGGTGAGCCTGGCCCCAGGCAGGGAGCATGGGGCTCTGGGGCTCAGCATCCCGGGAGCCCTTAGAGGAGCGGCCCAGGGCCCCGAGGAGGGAAAGCCGCCATCGATGTGTGAGGTTCCCCCTCCCCACTCGAGCTTTCAGATCCTCTTGTGACTCAGTTTCCCCTAAAATCAGTTCCTCACACTGGGAGGCCCCATTTCTGTGGAGGGGCTCTGGCCTCTGGGCTCATGGCAGGGCTGTGGCCGGTTGTCCCTCACCCCTCAGATCCAGCACCCGGGGTAACCCAGCCAACCCTGCACCAGAACTCCTGGCAGGCGCAGAGCCCAGCGCTTAGGGACAGCAGGGGGCGCTGTCTGCAAAGCTTTTCTCCGGGACCCAGAGCGGCAGCGAGTTTGCCAGGGCTGTCGGTGCAGGAGGTGCAGGGCCCCGGCAGCCCGCCCAGGCCTGGCACTGCCCCGGGAATGCAATGTGTTTTGTACAAGATGATGATGGTGCTGGTGATAATAAACTCTTAAATGTGCTCCTTGTAGGAAACTGGAAAATGTCAAAGCAAACGCCCATGGCCGCTCCCGCAGCCCTGCACCCGCCCGCAGCCCAGAGTGGGTGCTGGCAGACCCAGGCCCCACAGGGCAGACAGAGCGCTCTGTCTCCAGGTGGGAGCTGAGGTTGGCCCGCGGAGCCTGCTGCCCAGACAGCCCAGTCTGTGGGGTGGAGGCAACAGCAGTGACCGGAGGCCTCCAGCCTGAGTGGTCGGGCTGGTAAGCAGGGTGGTAAGCAGGCCCCCAGCCGGTTCCAGGTGGGGGAGGTGGTCTCCCCCTGGCCCGTCCCCTGCCTGTGCCCCAGCCACAGCCCACCCGGGGGTCGCTCTCTCCAGAGAGCACCAGCTAGCTTGCCCTTTGGCACAGCCTGGGCTCTGGCGGTGGGAAGGGCCTTGGCCGGCCGGGTCTGGCAGAGCAGCCCTGGGGAGCCTTCTTTAGCTGCTCTGTCTCAGGCTGGGGAGCACTGGGTCCTTGGGGAGCACTGGGGTGTGGGCAGCGCTGGGCTGCAGGAGCCCGGCCCATTGGTCAGCAGGCTCCCTCCGGCCCGGCTGGCTGGCTGCCCTCCCACCTCCAGAGCAGGCGGTTTGGTGGGCACACCCCCTGCGGGCAGCCAGCCCGGCCTGTCTGCGGCCCGGCCCTGCCCTTTTCTAGACACTTTTCTCAGGAAAACGCAGGCCCACACCCCCCTGGGCTCTGATGGCGGCTTTGAAGGTGGGCGCTGGGGCCGAGTCAGAACTGCCCACGAGTAAACAGCTGAGGACCCAGCTCAGCCGGGCGGGCAGGCGGGAGGCTGACGCCACAAAGGGACACTGTGAGGCCCCAGCAGAAGGGACCATTCAGCTCTCCCGGGCGGGACTCGCCTGCTAATTAGGTGGGGAGGACCCTAGTGGGTGGGCTGCAGGGGGGCGGGTTGGCCAGGGGAGCTGTGTCCCGTGGGGAGGAGCCCGCTGGTCCGACCAGTGAGACCCAGGGCCCAAGGCCAGCCCCGCCACCCGCTAGCTGCTCCAGACCATGAGGACGGCCTGTCCCTCCTGGGCGCCCCCTGAGTGGACAGAGCCCGGCACTGGGCAGGGCATTGCCTCTGCCAGACCCTGCCTGTGCCTCCAGCTGGCTGCCCCTCCGCATCCTGCTGCCCAGGATTGGGGTGCAGGCACTGAGAAGGGGACCCCTCAGCTCTGGGGTGGCTGGGGGCCCAGGGGCAGGGCACACCCACAAGCAGGCTGTTTCTTTCCTCAGGGCGCTGGGCCCCGTGGTGAGAAAGGGCGTGAAAAGGCGCATCTATCATTTCCCCTCACTGCCCGTGGCGCTGTCATTGTCCCCATTCCCAGGTGAGAGGAACGGAGGCTCCTCGAGGGTACCTGGCTCAGTGGAGGCCACGCTCGCCCCACGATTCTGCCCGCGGGGTGGTCGGCCCTGGGCACACAATGTGCTGTGGAAACCTCCCAGGGATTCGATGGCGTGTCCCTGTTCTAGCCCCGGGCCAGTGTCCCCTCACAGAGGGGGTCCCGTTCCCGGAAGTGCTGGGCCCTTCCAGGGCCTGTCCATCAGCACCTCTGGGAGACTGTCCCTGGCCAGTGATGGGCCAACCACTGGCCCCAGCACAGCCCAGCCCCGGCCCCCCTCACTGCACTGCCCATTGCGGGTCCCTCAGGGAGGCTCCCCTCCCCCCACACAGGGACTCCTGGGGAGTCACCCACAGAGGACGGGAGCCCCTTGTTCTCTCTCAGGGACCGGGAAGCGTGTGCGGGGACAGCGGAGAGCGGGGAGCGAAAGGCCTGCTTAGCGAGGGGCGGGTCCCGAGCCAGTCAGTTTGGAGGGAAAGCGGGCTGTGTGTCCCTGGAGCTGTGGACAGAGAAGCTGGCTGGGCTGAGGCTGCTGAGCCAGGAGGGCCCCGGTGTCCGGTGTCTGGTGTCCGAGGGGCCGGGAGAGGAAGGTGACGGCCTCGCCCTCGGAGCCCTTACCCTGGAAACCAGGCTGCATTTCAGAGCTGGGAGACTGAAGAGCAGCAGGGCCACGACCTTGAGCTGTGTGGCCCCTCATCAGGCCTGCGGGGTCTCAGAGACCCCTGGGCTGGCTGGGGGTGAGCTGCGGGCACCTGGTTGCAGGCTCGATTCCGGCCGTGGTCGGGGCTTGTGTGGGAGGCAACCTATTCATGTCCCTCTGACATCGATGTCTCTCTCTCTCCCCCTCCCTTCCACTCTCTCTAAAAGCAATAAAATATATGCTCAGGTGGGGATTAACAAAAAAAGATAATAATAAAAATAGTGAACAAATATGTTTTACTGATTTCAGAGAGAAGAAAGGAGAGGGAGAGCAGGATAGACACATCAATGATGAGCGAGAATCATGGATCAGCTGCAGCTCCCTCATTTCCTCAGCACCCCGGCCCCTCCCGCCCGCATCTTGGACCATCCACAGGCCACTGCAAGGAAAGGTGAGGGTCCATTTCAGAAACT